CCCGCCCCCATGCTGACCTGTCCCTGCTCTCTCCTGCCAGGCGGCAGCGGTGGGGAACCTACTCCCCTTCCTGCGGCACCTGACAGCGCAGGTGCACAGCGCCGTGCCGGGCGGGCTGGTGATCTGGTACGACAGCGTCCTGCAGAACGGCATGCTGAAATGGCAGAATGAGCTGAACGAGATGAATAAGTGAGACCAGGCCCTGCCCCACCACCTTGCCCAGGCAAAACCAGCCCTGGGTGGGAGGGCACGAGCCCAGCCCAAACCCAGCACTCGGGGGTGGTCAGGGCATGGCCTGCACAGCCCTCGGTGGGGTGGTCTGCGGGGGCAGCCGCAGCGTCCACCCTGCCACCCTGACCCTCGTCCCCAGGGCATTCTTTGACGCCTGTGATGGGCTGTTCACCAACTACAACTGGAAGGAGGAGAACCTGGAGCGCACGCGTGCGCTGGCCGGGCCACGCCACACCGACATCTACGTTGGCATCGACGTCTTTGCCCGCGGGGATGTGATCGGTGGTGGCTTCGACACTGACAAGGTGGGTGTGCTGGGGCCAGGCCAGAGCAGGACCCTGGGCCTCTCCTTGGCGCAGGGCTCTGAGCTCCCGCCGATGGCTGTGCCGTGCTGTGCTGGGCTGCCAACCCGTGGTGAGGAGCGGGGGAATGTGGCGCCGCTGGGCTCCCAGCCGTGCATGGAGAGGGAGGTGGGGGATCCCAGTGCTGCAGTCCCTGGAGAGGGAGATGCCGCACCACGGGGTGTTGTCCTGCCCCACCACGGGGCCAGTGGGATCTGGGGGAGTGAGGACAAGGCAGGTGACAAGGTGACGCCCCTGGCCCGGCCCGTGCTGCTCACCGCTTGTCTCCGCAGTCCCTGCGCCTGATCCGCCAGCACGGCCTCTCCGCAGCCATCTTTGCCCCCGGCTGGGTCTACGAGCACCTGGGGGAGGAAAACTTCCTGAACAACGAGAACAAGTGAGGGCGGCTCAGCAGGGCAGGGGCTGTGGGGGGAGATGGGGCTGGGAGCGCCCCAGGCAGCGGAGCAGGGCTGCCGGGACACCTGCGCCAGGACCAGGCTGTCCCTGCTCTGCCCCAGCTGAGGTGGTGCCTGTGGCTGTGCCGGGGCAGCAGCAGTAGCAGGGGTCTCTGCTCTGACACCTGCCCTTTCCTCCAGGTTCTGGGGCTTGCTGGCCGAGTACCTGCCCACGCACAGCATCTGCACGCTGCCCCTCGCCACCTCCTTCAGCCTGGGCATGGGCACCAGCAGGTTCCTGGATGGGAAGGTGGGTGTGGGGTAACTGCTCGGCTCCAGCCGGGCAGGGGTGGGCTGGGCAGGGGGGTCTCTGCTCCCGGCTGCCCACCCGGCCCAACTCACCCTGTCCTGCAGGAGGAAGAGGCCGGGCCCTGGTATGACCTGAGCGTGCAGGAGATCCAGCCCTTCTACCCGGAGCACGAGGGCAGGCTGAGCACCAGCTGCTGCCTGCAGGACGCTTGGTGCGGGGGCAGCTCCCTGAGGGTGCAGGGGACCATCCCCCCTGGCGAGGAGCGTGTGGCCACCTGGTGAGTCGGGGGGCCGAAGCCCTCTTGCTACCTGGTCAGCGCTGGGCTGGAGCCGTGCCGGCATGGCATGGCCCACATGGCCCGGGCAGAGCTGTGCTGCCCCGGGGCCTCGTGGTGAGCGTGCCGCGGGGGTCTCTGCCCGCACTGCCCAGCAGACCTAACCCGATGCATCTTCTCTTTCTCTCCTCTCTCTCTCTCTCTCTCTGTCTCTCTCTGGGTGGATTTGGGGTCATCAGCCTTTTCTCTTTGCAGATGCCGGCACCCCCCAAGCTCTTCCTGACCCTGCTGTACAAGCTGGAGGGGCCACACCCCGATGAGTTCACGGTGTCACTGGAGCTCACCACCTGGGACTCGGGTACCTGCCACGAGGGCAACGTCACCTCGCTGCCTGGTGAGGACCCTGTCCCCCCTGCCA